TTTTTTTCTTGGACAGAATTTTTTCCCGGGGGGGGGGGGGGGGGGGAGTGGGGTTTTTTTTGCCGAGGTGTGTGTGTGTGTGATATTTTTTGTTAAACCATCTGGCAACCCGAGGCAGGGGGGAGCCGATATGCATGAGAGTCAGCTTGCAGAGGCAGTGAGGGGGGGCGGGCAGGAGCCAGTGCTGGGGGGAGCCATCTTAAAAGCTGGTTCCCCCCAGCACCAGCTCCATAGTGCCACCTCCCTCTTCCCCCGACTAAGCAGCCTCTGTCCTTGTGGGCTCTGAGCTCCCCATGGAGAGGGGCTGCTGCCACCCTGCGCTGCTGCCTCTGTGTGAGAGGCAGTGGGACAGCAGGTAGCTGATCTGCACAGGGCTGCCTCCGCCTCCTGCCTGCCACCCCACGCTGCTGCCTCTGAGAGGCAGCAACGTGGAGTGGCAGGGGGCTCCCCTACGGTGGGGCCAGGAGTACATTGGCTGAGAATAGTCGTGTAACCGCTAAGATTTCATGCAGTTGCATGACTAATCAATTACATGATATCCAACATCGCTAATCCAGAGAGTCCCTTTGCACACTCTAGCAAATGGATTCATGAACAGATAGCAACAACTTTGTGTAATGCAATGCAAGTTTAAAAGAAATCCTTCAAATGCACAGCACCGTCTAGAGCAGGGTTCTCAAACTTCACTGCACTGTAACCCCTTCTGTCACTACATGACCCCAGGAAGGGGATGGAGCCTGTGCCCCACCATCCTGGGTGGGGTACAGAAGGACCCACAGCCTGAGCCTGCCCCAGGTGAGGCTGGAGGTGGAGCTTCAGCCTTGAGACCTAGTAGTAAGTCTAATGATTGCCCTGGGAAGCTCAGGTCACCACCCACCCATAGTCTGGGAACTGGTCTAGAGTCAAACGCACAGCATCATCTGGGGCCTGATCTGTCCGGAGCAGTCAGTCTGCTAATTGTTCATTTGTGCGCAAAATGTGTTCAGCCATTTCCCCCAGAGCCTCTCACCGCATCCGCTCCATATGTCCTCCCCACATTTCAGGAAGGTGAGAAGTAGTAAGCTGTCACAGGTTTGTCTCCTGTCACAGTTTGCTACCTGGGCAGGAAGTATGGGAAAGGCAGAGACCAAAGTGTGATAGCGAAGCAAAAAAAGAACACCGAGGAGTTAGTAACTGCTCCCAGTAGCAAATAGTACCAATAGCAATAACATTACATTTGTGAGCTACTCAGTCATTCAGTGACAATGTGGCTTGCTTTTGCAGAGACCAAGGTGTATGTGGGAAACCTGGGCACTGGGGCCGGAAAGGGCGAACTGGAGCGAGCATTCAGCTACTATGGTCCCCTGCGCACAGTGTGGATAGCAAGAAATCCTCCGGGATTTGCCTTTGTAGAATTTGAAGACCCAAGAGATGCTGAAGATGCAGTTCGAGGTTTGGATGGAAAGTACGAATGTGTTGCATTTCTGGAGCCCTTAACTCTTACTAAGGTTGTGACTGCGCTGCAAGCATCTTCATCACTGTAGTAGAACATAAGAACGGTCATCCTGGGTCAGACCAATGGCCCATCCAGCCCAGTGTCCTGTCTGCCGACAGTGGCCAATGCCAGATGCCCCAGAGGGAGGGATCACAACAGGTAATCCTCACGTGATCCCTCCCGTCATCCACCTCCAGAGAAACAGAGAGTCGGGACACCATTTCCTATACAGTACAAACCTCAAGTGACCAGGCTTCCATCAACCTCCTGTTTCTACAAAAGGACTGGTACAGGTTTTTTTCACACCACAGAGCAATGTAGCTAGGTTGACCTAAGTGTTAGGTCTTAAAAGCTATAGCTCTTTAACAACAATGGGGGTTTCACATTTTAGTGGTTCTTTAGAGACTGGCTTTCTTATTTAATAGGTATTAGATAAGGGAAAATACCAGATTAATAATGACTATTTTGAATATATCAAATTACAGGGTGATTTGTGGCTCCCGAGTGAGGGTTGAGCTGTCAACTGGCATGCCCCGTCGCTCCCGCTATGACAGACCTCCCGCACGGCGACCATTTGATCCTAATGACCGGTGTTATGAGTGTGGCGAGAAAGGCCATTATGCTTATGACTGTCATCGTTATAGTCGACGAAGGCGGAGCAGGTATTGTGTGAAAGGAGTGATTGGTTCTTTTTTTCACCAGTTACTGGTGCAGCCATTAGCCATAAAATGTTATACCAATTTAATTTAACTTTAATGCTGTAATTATACAGATATTTATTACAATTTGTTATTTCATATTCAATGTTAATATATTAATAATCAACCTGGTCAAAACCTTTCAGGTTTCTTCGTTTGAGTCAGTCGCCTTGATTCAGAATGTCACGAGCCTTAAGATATCATGCTGAGGCGCCTTGCAAAATCCGACAATTAAGATTCTCCTAGACCTTGAGGTGATCAGCATAAGAGGCCAGATCCCCTCGAGCCATCTACACCTAGCTTCACCTTATTCTTAAAGGGCAGAAAATTTGAGACGGTGATCGCCGTAACAGTAAATTTGGCTTTCAATTGGGGCCCCCCTCCGGTTTAGAAAGAGGAACACCAGATTGACCACATTCCCACCTAGAAAAATCTTCTTGCGTCAATCAAGCCTCACCCTGGCTCATTTGGCTGTCAGTTTGATCGTCGTTAGATTGAAGAGAACACCTAGATGCAGCGATCGGCTATAGATACTTCTAGATCGTCTAGATCTGCTAGACCTTGGGCCAAAGAGGGTCGACCTGCAAACTTGCAAGGTTTATTTTAAATACGCATTACAGTGTTTTATATTATAATGTAATTCTAAAATGTAATTCAGCTTAACATCTTTCCTAGGTAGTAAAAATACTCAAAGCAAATAGGCCCTGAGTTTTTCCAAGTGACAGACACTAACTATTAGTTGTCTGAAATTTTGACTTCGGCAGAGGCTCACGTGCAGTAATAGCTTAAGATTCTTTTCTAATACTTACTTTTTCCAACCTAACATTAGGTCGCGGTCTAGATCTCATTCAAGGTCCAGAGGAAGAAGGTATTCTCGGTCACGCAGCCGAAGCCGTGGAAGGAGGTGAGTTTCAGACTGCCTTGTGCTTCCATTTTTTAAGATAAATCAAACATTACACATCATTATATTTTTAAAATTTCCCCAGATCCAGGTCAGCTTCCCTTCGCAGATCCAGATCTGTCTCTCCTCGTAGATCTAGATCTGCCTCTCCCCGCAGGTCCCGATCAGGCTCTTTAAAACGATCAAGGTAATTGTTATGCACAAGGACTACTAGATAATGTTTCTATGGAGGTTGTGGATTCAGAGCCTATTTGTGGGAAGTGTACCCTTTGCACGCTTGCAGAGCAGATTCTGAAAGGCACCGACAACCCTCCAAACCAAACTCTAATTTCCTCAAACGGGCTATGGGCATTAACTTGATTTCTTCTTGAGCTAAATTAGATAGTGTAAAAAGAATTGGTTGAGGGCTTGTTTACACAGCAGAAATGTGCACTACCACAGTGTGACTTCTATGGAGCATTAATTGGTCTGGGTAGACTGGTGCCATTTTAAACCAAAACAGACTATGCAGACACAATAACATGCAGTTCATTACCCCACCATGTAGGCAAGCACTGAGCTTTTGGGATACAAAGTGAAAGCTATAGCCTTATTCTGTGTAATATAGGTGTCTGTTCGGATTGTCCTATGCACTCTGTAGGTTCTGTGATCTTCACAGATATCTTAGTATCAGTCAGCAACAAGGCTACTTTGATAAGCTGCTATAATCATCTTAATACTTTCTGCTTGCACTGGATTGATTTTTATTAGTATCTTTTAAAACCTAGATCTAGATCCAGATCACGATCAAGATCAAGGTCTGTTACGTGGCCAAGAAGCAGGTAAGATCTTTGACAGGATTGATTAAAGCAACTAACTGTGTGGTGTCCAACCAGTTCTGAAGCAGTAGCCACTAAAGTGGCTACTGCTATAGCCAACTAGCCACACTCAGACTGGCCAGATGGCCACATGTTGTAAAGCAGTTTTTAAACTAAGGGCTGGGGAAAATCCCATGGGTGCGGAGAAGCACATGGGTTGGACAGAGACATCTCTTTGGGGAGGGTCAATAAATAGAGATGCCCTATGCTCTAGTCAGGAGGAAAGGATGGAAGATGATAAAGTATAGTTAAGATCAGATGAGAAACAATCAAATGAGAAAGAGTAATACATCAGAAAATAGCAGACAGATAAATAGGAACACATTTTTAAAGTGTTTATACACAAATGCAAGACGTCTAAATAATAAGATGGGTGAACTAGAGTGCCTCATATTAAAGAAGGATATTGATATAATAGGCATCACAGAAACTCGGTGGAGTGAGGACAATCAATGGGACACAGTCAGTCCAGGGTACAAAATATATCGGAAGGACAGAACAGGTCGTACTGGTGAGGGAATGGCACTACACGTGAAAGAAAATGTAGAATCAAATGAAGTAAAAATCTTACATGAACCAAAATGTTCCATAGAATCTTTAGGGTAGTAATTCCATGCGCTAATAATAATAATATAGCGGTAGGGATATATTATCGACCATCTGATCAGGACAGTGAAAGTGACTGAAATGCTAAGGGAGATTTAGAGAGGCTATCTAAATATAAAACTCAATAATAGTGGGGGATTTCAACTATCCCCATGTTGACTGGGTACACGTCACCTCAGGACGGGATACAGAAATAAAATTTCTTGATACCTTAAATGACTGCTTCTTGGAGCAGCTGGTTCTGAAACCCACAAAGGGAGAGACAGTTCTTAATTTAGTTTTAAGAGGAGTGCAGGATCTGGTTCAAGAAGTAAATATAAGTGGACTGCTTGGAAATAGTGACCATAATGTAATAAAATTTAACATCCCTGTGGTGGGAAAACACTTCAGTACCCCAACACTGTGGCATTTAATTTCAGAAAGGGAAACTACACAAAAGTGAGGAGATTAATTAAACAGAAATTAAAAGCTACAGTAACTAAAGTAAAATCCCGGTAAACTGCATGGAAACTTTTCAAAGACACCATAATAGAGGCCCAATTTAAATATATACCCAAATTAAAAAACACAGTATGAGAGCCAAAAAAGTGCCACCGTGGCTTAACCACCAAGTAAAAGAAGCAGTGAGAGGGTGTGTCTAGACTACATGGCTCCGTTGACGGGGCCATGTAAAGTAGTTTACCTGACAGTCAATGAAGCGGGGAATTAAATAATCCCTGCTTCATTAAAATAAAAATGGCCATCGCACTGTACTGACAATCAGCTGATCCGGCACAGCGCGGCAGTCTAGACATGGATGTTGTGATTAAAAGAAGCACCCGGGATCTTTTTCAGGGGGATAAAGCAACACTCCACATTATTGAACATACATAAATCAATCAATATTTATCATATGCATACGATACATTACACTCATTCACTCTCTCACACACACTCACGCACACACACTCCATCTTGTTGTTACCAAAAGTTGCTCCCGCTAACTGCACTGGCCAGGTGAGTTAGATGGGGGAGGGGTGGAGCTGGGCTTCTGCAGATCGGAATTGATGTTCCCATGTTGACAAGACGAAAACCCGGGGTCCCTCTGCAAGATGCCTCCTATTTATCCCTCTCATGCAGCCGATTAGTCATCACCTCACCTTTCTTAATGCTGATTCAAAGAGAGAGCTTCCAAGGGCAGGCACTTGCTGTTTGACTCCCAAGGCGTCTGTGTGTCCAATTTTCTCAATGAGCTCACTTTACAGGTATTGTCTTAGATCTGGCTCCCAGACCTTCTCCACCCTTGCAACTGCTGCTGGAGGTGCTCACCTTTCATTCTCCATTCACACCTCATTCATTTCAACAGGACAATCAAGGAAAGGAGAGAGCTCAAAAGACATTCCTCTCCTACAAGATCTACACGTCTTAATACAAAGTTATAGGAGAAATGTTCCAGAGATTCTATAAGAAAACTTAACAAAGATAGATCTAAAAGGACAAGATCTTAATATAAAGTATAATATCACAGGGATTTATCCACACAGATCGGTCAACAAAGGCTTCCCTTGTCAACCGATCCGCGTCTAGACTGCCGCGCTGTGCCGGATCAGCTGATTGTCGGCACAGTGCAGTGGCCATTTTTATTTTAATGAAGCAGGGATTATTTAAATCCCCGCTTCATTGACTGTCAAGTAAACTACTTTACATGGCTCCGTCAACGGAGCCATGTAGTCTAGACACACCCAGAGATAAAAAGGCATCATTCAAGAAGTGGAAGTTAAATCCTAGTGAGGAAAATAGAAAGGAGCATAAACTCTGTCAAATGAAGTGTAAATTTTAATGAGAAAAGCAAAAAGTAGTATGAAGAGCAGCTAGCTAAAAACTTAAATAGTAATAGCAGAAGCAGGAAGCTGGCTAAACAACCAGTGGGGCCCCTGGATGATGGAGATGCTAAAGGAGCACTCAAAGACAATAAAGTGTCATTGCGGAGAAACCACATGAATTCTTTGTTTCGGTCTTCACGGCTGAGGATGTTAAGGAGATCCCCAAAACTGAGCCATTCTTTTTAGGTGACATATCTGAGGAATTGTCCCAGATTGAGATGCCATTAGATGAGGTTTTGGAACAAATTGATAAACTTAACAGTAACAAGTCACTGGGACCAGATGGCATTCACTGAAGAGTTCTGGAAGAACTCAAAAGTGAAATTGCAGAACTATTAGCTGTGGTTTGTAACCTATCCTTTAAATCAGCTTCTGTACCCAATGACTGGAAGATAGCTCAATAGTATGGAGGATTGCTTTGTATAGAATGTATTACAGGAATTAAATGTCTCAAACCAGATTTAAAGAATTGTGTGTAAAATGTTGCATGCCTGAATTCTCATTAATACTTCTGTCACAAGAAGGTCTAAGCTGTGTGATGGGCAGCATAGCTGACAGTCGTGGACCAGGTGATCTGCTCTCTGTTATGCAAAGACAGAATTAAAATTTGGGTGTCTGAACCTTATGGATGGTGCTGTTCCATTCTCTGCTCTTGTCCACATCTGTGAGATTTGTTCCCTGTCTTGAAGGGCTGTAGAATGAAAGAGCTCTCTCCTAGTTGCATCCCTTCCATTTCTTCTAGCAGCAGCAGTAGTTCCTGCTGTTTGGGGTGGGGCATGCCTAGAGGGAAAGCCCCCTACCGGGAGGGGAGGACAAGACTGGTACTAGTGATGGCAAGAGATGGGATCCCTGTTATAAGTATGAGGGAAAGTAAGAACTTCCTTGGGGAAGATGAAGAGCAGGGGAAGCCCTGCTTGGTGGTGGGGCAGGTGCGATGAATCCCTAAGTGGAAGAAGCAGAGGAGGTGGCAGTGGGTAAGAGAGGAGAAATACTGAGCTGAGTGCAGTAAGATTTGGGAGGAAGTACGGTGAGAAGCCCTGCCTTGTGTGCTTTCTCTTACTGTTCAGGTGGGCTCTCATTCTGTTACCCCTGAGTGCCACAGTGAGCCTGAACGCTTGTTCCTCCAAGTTCACTTCTTCACTTGGCCATTCTTTCATCTTCATTGCATCTGCCCAGACTTTAATTGGCACATGCCTGCGATGTGCAGAGAACAACTATTCTGGCTCATCTTGTGTCAGCAAGGGAGATCTTTGAATAACCCTGCATACCATTGGCTATTGAATTTCGGCACTGGGATTGTTTTCACTGAGTCAGCAGTTTGTCAGATTTTACACCTAGAATTCCCATTTAAACATAAAGCTAGTTCATGGCCTATCTGTTTCATTGTAAGAATGCAGTTATGTGGCCATAGTCACAAAGATTTCAGGACTCAAGTTACTGAAAAGTAACCAAACATGGATATTGTTCACTGTGCAGGGTTGATAATAGCCACTGTTAGACTTTCAAGTAAGCAGATGAGTCATCTTGCTTCTTTACAGAAGAACAAAGGAAAGGCTTGGCATTAGAGCTGTTACAGTGCGGCGGCAGGAAAGGCAGAGGCACAGTGGCGCTGCCATTTAAATGTAGTAAGAGCCAGGTGGCTTTTATTACATTTAAAAGGCAGAGCCACAGTCATTGGGGACCCAGCGTGAGCTGGAACTGAAGCCATCCCAGCTCACGTTGGGTCCCAGGCCTATCCCCACTATGGCTCTGCAGTTTAAATATAGCAGGAACCAGGTTGCCTGCATTCCCAGATCCTATTACGTTTAAACTGCAGAGTTGCAGCGGGACCTTAACGACGAATTGTATTGAGTACACGATTAGTCATTTACCCACTACTTAACATCCTTATTTACAGCCAGTTAAACTTTCCCACCCTGCTGCTAGTTTTAAAAGACCACAACATCACGCAGCAGGAGAACTTTTTTGCTGTTGTGGTTATATTAAGGAAGCACTGGTCTCATACTAATTCTTTTTGTTGAAATATTTTCTGAGCCAAGAAAATGGCACCAGTGTGCCATTCTGCAGAAATAGGAGAAATGAAACTCAAATGAATATGAGTGAGCTAATTGTATCTGACTTGAAAACATGCTGGCATATTTCATTACATGAGTATTGCTGCATGCTCCTGGGAATGGTCAGCAGTCACTACAAGATGAGCATCAGAGGAGATGGAATGCAAAACGAACTGCTGACACTACTGGAGATTTTTACAAGTAAGGAATTATCAGTGTCTTGTTACAAGGATTCTGCTTTTGAAAATACCTGACAGTGACAACTTCTACTCCAGTGAAGCTCAGAGTGTGGCTTACTGTATTCATGAATTATCTTGCTAAACTAATTGGACACATTGTCTTGTGTTTCAAGAAGCTCTGTGCAAAAGCAACGGAGCAACATTTGGGTGATAAGCTGGTAAGGAAAGAACACTGTGAATTTCTTGATCACAGTGACTTGATCAAGAACTCAAGGTTGTTTTACAAGAATTAACATTAGAACTGAGGTACAGCAGTGTCACTTGGCTAAGGCTGTATCTGTTTCAAAGTAACTATGTTCTTGGTTTAGAATGGACATTAAAGGATGAAGACACGGAATCAATGAGTTCTGCTGAGTTCAATATACTAGTTCAAGGTTTATCTAAACATAGCAATCACAATCCTGACCATATTTGAAGCTTATGAGATTCTGAAATAGTTGAGGAAAGGTCTGAATACTAGAAAATTAAAATACTCCCTGTTGATGAAACAATCTAGAAAATTCATCTACTTTCATGAGTAACATCAGTAATACTGAAATCTTCGGAAGACTTTTCAGAACAGTTAACTTTCTGTACCTAAAAAATTTGTCCCACTTTCAGCAGACACTTTTAACCAAGGTTGAAGATTTAAAATGGCTAAAGAGTTAACATTGAAATGATGATTGTTCAGTTGCAAGAGAGCACTGACTGGAAAACAGCTTGGTTTTCGGGTGGAAGTCATCCATCCCAGTGGAGTCTTGAATACAGTATGCAATTGTGTTTATGAAAATACTAGTCATAGCTTTCTTTGATTGGAGAATATATGCATGTGAACTGTCTCAAGTAATATTTAGCATGTGTGGCATTGAATTAAAAAGCTGTCTTCTGAAGTGTAACTGCCAAAGCCCCTCTCACAGGTGGATTTCTACCTGTGAGTCACTAGCCCTCCATTATCCCTGATTTAGGTAACCTCACTGTACATGCATCCCACTGGTGCCTTGCTGAGCGATATTTCTCTTCCATTGTAGGTCTGGGTCCCATGGTAGATCTAAATCTGGCTCGCCTGCTAAAAGGTGAGCTCGTAATGCTGAATCCTGCACTAGATCTTTTAGATGTCAGAGCTGTTTTGTTGTGACTCAAAAAGCCCTTTGCTTGGACCATTATTTCACTTCTGTTTGAAGGGTGTTATTGCTAAGGGTTATTACTTGGGATTTTTACTTCAAAGGTCATGAATATTTAGTGAATTTTTTACTTGAAACATAATTCTATCTAGAAAATAATTTCTTTGCAGGTGAATGAGTATGTAGGGGGGAGGGAAGCGGGCGAGGGGGAGGGGTATTTCCCTACCCCATTTTTTGTTCTACCTATTTAGTTTTCACCACAGTACTGAATCAACTTGTTCTCCTCCTCCACCTCTTATCATAGAATTGTTGTGATACATAAACACAACATTAACATTTAATATTACCACAACATTTAATATTGTTCTTAACACACATAAAAGGATTTGCTGCAGATGTGGTAAAGATGGGGGGACTACTGTGATGGCCCTGCAAGACCCTTTAAAAGATTTTGCACGTCAGTAACACCTATGTGAAGTGCTGCCTCAGAGATTCTGTTTTAAGGTTATGGGCAAAATTGTTTTGTTGTAATGCAACTGTATGAAGTTTTGTCACTTATTATTTCTTTCTGTTTTATAGCCGATCAAAGTCCAGATCCCCCTCTCCAAAAAGAAGGTAAGTAGAATCTCGCTACTAAAGACCGCTGGTGTTACAGCATTAGCCTCTATGGTCATCACTACTGAAAAGTCAGCATTTGCCAGTACTGAGATTACCAGAGCTTTTCCCTGTAGCTCACTGAAAGCACTAAAAGGAATATTTTGGGTGGAGTGGGCTTCCTCAATGCATGTGACACTGATTATTAAAGTGAGGCGCCTAGAGGTAAACTGCTCCCAAGAAAGCGGGAACATGGTGTACTATGAAAAGCTTTTCTTGTGCTGTTGCTGTAGGATTTCCCTCCTCTGCAAAGGCTTCATTGAACTGAGTTCTATGCAAGAGGATAAGCAAAATCACATTAAACTTATGGTCAGAAAGACACAGGGAGAATCCATTTTAAACAGCCTCTTTTAAAAACTCCAGTGACACAGAGACTGACTGACTTTGTAGAAGGTGCAGTGGGCTTACAGCTAAACCTTTTTCAGAAGTACTGAACCTAGTTTCTCAAGGGATGTTTGTAGCCAGAGGAAAGATCTGAATAATTCTAAGCATAGAGGAAAATGAAAATGGCCCAGAGTAAAGCTGGTTGCCGATGAAATGTGTGAAGCAAAACACAAACTAAAGACTTCTTAACAAACACCCATCCGGTTGAATGGACTCAAACCGCTCTCATCCTTGCTGATGGCTCTCTCTTAAAAAACAGCTATACAGTCTGCTGTTCCTTCATGGTAATAGCAAGGTAAAATTCTCTACATTTCCCTTTTGTAGTCCAGATCAGTTCTTACTAGAACTCCTCTGTATTTTATGTGATTAATCACTTGCTTTGTTTTTTCAGTTTTAGTCTGAGCCATTTAGAACCATTCTCCATTAATTTGCCTAAGTATCTTTTCTGAACACTGGGAGACAATTCTTCCAAGCTTGGCAAAAATCTCCTGAGGAGTGCACAGGAGCTCGAGTGGCTTGTGCCCTGCCACACTGAGGCCCTGCGTGTAGCATTCTTTTTTTCCTATTTTTGGACTTTAGAAAAGGCTTTCAAATCTTAAATGATGTATTAATAAAACTTTAAAATGCCACTACAGGTTGAGCATCTGGCACTCTTTGGTCTAGCAACATCCATGGTCTGGCATGATTTTAGTGGGTGGCTACTTACAATGGGGGTGGCCAAATGTCTCACGGTCCCATAATGTTTACAGCCACCAGTCCTGGCTCTCAGTGCTCTGTGCTGATACTTAGCTCTAACTTACCCCAAGTGTCTTGTAAGAGCCCAGTGAGCAGTGGGAGTGTTGGTGATGTTGCTGGACAATATTGTCCTTTCAGGGTTCAGCAAATTCTCTGGTTTGGCACCACTCAGGTCCCAAGGGTGCCAGACTTAAGGATGTTAAATATCCAGGGTGGTGGTGAACCTGTGGTTCCCGATCAATACTAAAGTTACTCCAACTGACAGCTGTTTTCTTTCCACTTCCAGTCGTTCACCATCAGGAAGCCCGCGAAGGAGGAGTGCAAGTCCTGAAAGAATGGGCTGAAATTTCAAAGTTAACCTTCCAGGAAGAATGTTATTTTGTTTACATTATTATAAGGGATTTTGTGGTGTCTTTGTAAATGGTAAGGGCTTAGTTCTAGAAAGGTATTTCAATCAGATAGCAGTTGGTATGGATCTGGATCTTTTTAAATCTAAGTTATATCAGTAGACTAGTGCACAACTTGCTTTGTTGTACATATTTAACACCCTGTGATCTGAAAATGTGGGCCTCTCTTACTGACACTTTTTTATTCACACATTCAAATAAAATGTGTGATTCTAACTATAAAACTCCTTGTGGTGCTCTGCTTAAAAAAAACTAGTCTATCCTAAATCAATCATATTCTTCTTCCCAGTTGATTTGAAATAGTCTCTAGTAATGTGAACTTATCTAACAAAATTTTAAACACTGGCTAAAATCCTTGATAGCTCAGTTGCCATAACTTCCTGTGACAGCATTTGCATGAGATCTCTGTTCATTGTAAACTTCCAGTGTAGAGAAAGTACAAATTTCTAATGCATAAAACTTGTTTACCAAAAGTAAATGTTTTGGTAGGGCACAAGCATAGTATTTGCATTGCAGGTTGTCTTTCAATAACAGTTTGTGTTCTGAGAGAGAAGGTAGCTATAATGCTTTTTTTCCCCCTCCACAACCCATTTAGGGTCACTTAGTTTAATCTGAGGAAAAACTGACTGAACTTGTGCAGTTGCAAACTGTTTTGCAACACATTGCTATCATAGAGCAGCCTGTATGCTGGTAGAGAAAACCTGTTTAGATATTAGTAAGATAAATTCTGTAGTGCACACAGCAATATGTGATTGAAGAGCTTAAAATGAATCTTTTGTGAAACTCCCTGAAGCCCGTTGGTCTGTAGCTAGGAGCTGCATGAAAATGTGGCATTTCATATTGAAACAGAGACTGGCTATCCATAGGTCTTACCTGGTTGGCAAAAATAGTGTTAGATGCCAGCACCCTTTTTAATAGATATTAAAAAGTGCTATTTTTTTAATCTGGACTATTTTATATCATGTTGCTAGGTGTCAGTTTCAGCATTTACGGAGAACTGTTTGGTTTTTTTTTAACAGCCACTAAATTTGAAAGAGCAGACTTGTTTGGGCTCTAATGAACTGGCTAATGACAGATTATAAGTTTACAAGCTTTTAAAAACAAAAAGTTATTAATGTGGTACCTTAAATAGCAAAACAATCTTTTGGACCAAAAGGCAAATTTTGGGTAACCCACAATTTTCAGATAACGGATTTTTCATTTAATGTTAGGAGCCTCTTCTGTCAGAGAGATGTTAGAGCTTCTAAGTAGTCTCCCACGTTCTGAAGATATTTCACTTGGCAGCTTTATTTCTTGAGTGGACTGGCCACTTTCCTACCAGCTTTGATGCCTATTCTTGATTTTTCTGGGGTCTGGTTTTACATTCAGTGCATTGTTGCTTAGCAACAGAAGCATCGGCTCCCATTTCTAATTATGCTGTGATTGATATTCTGCTAATGTCCATAAAACAAGACTGCAAAATGGGGAACAAGAAATAACAACATTGTATGATTCTCCTGGAATAATTCAGCAAATATACCCAGAAATCATTGCTTAGGATGACACTCATCAATATACACAGTCCATTGTCTAGCAGTTTTACAGTAAATCTAGTAAAAGTGCCACATGAAATGATGCTACTGTATTTAACAAGCACTTTCTTCTTCTGTACTGCTAAGACAACCTACTCCACAATAAACCTGCAGTCTAAAATCACTGTCCTGGTACATCTCATCTCGTCTGTCTCTCTACACCTCCAGAACAACCTAGAAAACAGAGAGGCTGTGTCTAGACTGGCCAGTTTTTTCCGCAAAAGCAGCTGCTTTTACGGAAAAACTTGCCAGCTGTCTACACTGGCCGCTTGAATTTCTGCAAGAACACTGACGATCTCATGTAAGAAATCAGTGCTTCTTGTGGAAATACTATGCTGCTCCCGTTCGGGCAAAAGTCCTTTTGCGCAGAGCTTTTGCACAAAAGGGCCAGTGTAGACAGCTCAGATTTGTTTTGAGCAAAAAAGCCCCGATTGCGAAAATGGCGATCAGGGCTTTTTTGCGGAAAAGTGCGTCTAGATTGGCACGGACGCTTTTCCACAAAAAGTGCTTTTGCGGAAAAGCATCCGTGCCAATCTAGACGCTCTTTTCTGCAAATGCTTTTAACGGAAAACTTTTCAGTTAAAAGCATTTGCGGAAAATCATGCCAGTCTAGACATAGTCAGCTAGTAGTGTTGCACTTCCTTCGGCTGGAACAGTGTGGTGCACACTAAACGGTCCTGGGACTACATGAGGGACTAGCTTATATGTAGGCTGGCGGTCCCCTGCTGTGGTAAGGCAGAGAAGGGGACAGCCATGGGCAGTGCAGACTCTCCTCGGAAGCAAAGATCTGGGGTCACAGTGGATAAGCAGATGCTGTTGCCAAAAAGGTTAATGTGACCCTTGGGTGTATCAAGGGAATATGGACTTACGGATGTTACATTAACACTGTGGTTTCACTGAGGTAACTACTACAGGAAGCCTGTGTCCAGGTCTAATGCCCATAATTCAAGAAGAATATTCAAAAAATTGGAGGGGACTCAGAGAAAAGCCGTGAGAATGATTACAAAACCTGAAAACATGCCTTAGGTGAGTCTCATGATGCCAATCTATGTAGCTTATTAGCCAGGACTGTAACAGGGTTCCAAAAAAGAGTGAGATAAGTTCATGGAGGATGGGTTCATCAGTGGCTATTGGGCAGGGATGGGGTCCCTGGCCTCTGTTTGCCAGGGAGTGAATGACAGGAGGTGGCTCACTTGATTATTCTGCTCACTCCCTCTGGGGCACTGGGCCGTGGCCACTGTGGGCAGACAGGACACTGGGCGAGATGCACCATTGGTCTGACCAGCATGGCCACCCTGATGCTCTTACTGAAGAGAACAGTACTGGGCAGTTTGATCACAGTCTGCATGTACCTATGTGGGAACCAGAAACTGGATAAAACTCTCGAGTTTAGCTGAGGAAGGTTTAATGAGAGCCCATGGCTGGAAGGTGACACTGTACAAATTCAGACTAGAAATAGGCCCACATTTTTAACAATGAAGGTAATTAAAGGACCAGCCTACGCAGCTATGTGGTGAATTCTCTGTCAGTGGGATTTTTTAAAACAAGATCGTTTTCTAGTTCAACCATAGCTAATGGATTTGAAGCAGGAATTAATTCAGGAAAGTTTTCTGTTATGCAGGAGGTCAGAGTATATGACGACAATGGACCCTTCTGGACTTAACGTGTTAATCTAAAAAGAAATTGCACACAGTATCAGTAAAATGCTCTGTGATCAGATTACGTCAATGGGGTAGTCTCTGGGTCCCATACTGGGCTGCATTTGATGGTTTTGCTCTGTTTCCTCTAGCACAAAGCTTAGATCTGGGTCAGAGAGGCTCTCCCTCTCCACAATATCATCAGATCCTTGCATGGCCCCTTCTGCAGTCCAGGGTTGGTGCTGGAGGCATAGCTGGGGCATCTCTGCCCCTCAGTGAGAACCAGCTGCACTACCAATGCCTTGATGGCCATTGGTAGCCAGAGGCACTCAAGCTAGGCGATTGGCCAGCACAGATCAGCTCTGGAAAGGTCATGTGTAGCGCCTCTCTGTGGCTTCAGCTTGAGAACTGGGTTTTGTGTGTCTGCACTTCATCTTGAAAATTCATTTTTATTGCAGAAGTAAAAGCAATACAGTGAAAGCAATAAGCAAGATCTTTGTAGCGTACGTAGCAGGCATAAGTCCTGCATCAGCTACTAGCACCAGATGAAGTTGAGCAGATTTTAATCTTCACAGAGACATTTTCTGGTGGGGGGGAGGGGGGCGGCTGGACATGGGTACGGATGACAGCCATTTTGATTAGTTAGGCACCACAAGGTAAAGCGGCTCCTGCAAATCCCTACTGTATCTGCACAAGCTGCACTTTGCCAGTCCACTATACTGGCAAACCACGCCTAGTGGGGGTGCAGCTTTGGCTAGCAAAACTGCCCGGGTGCTGGTATAACTTACACCCTTCCCCTCAAGCAAAACAACAGAGCTAAGTCAGTCACAAATCACTCTGCCTAACCTAGCTATGGAGTGGGCTTAGTCCTGCACGTAGGGCCAGTGCCTCAACGATAACGCCATGGGCATTAGGTAACTGAGCGCCTTTGAGGATGCAGCCCGTAGCCCCTCGGGCTTCAGTTCCCGTTTGTCTGAAGATGAGCTACCATTACACAGGCATTTCTTTCTCTGGGCTGTTTTATACCTAGAGAAAGGGAAATAAGTACGTGTGTTGTGCACCCGTCCTACTATAATTGTATTGGTAAAACATCACACCCCTAATTCAGCAGCCATCAAGGGTCAGATTTTTAAAGGTATTGAGGAGCCTAACTCCTACTGACACCAGTGGCAGCCAGGTCCCTGGGGCGGGGGCAGGCCTCAGTGCTAGTCCCACATGAAGGGGAGTTTTACCAGTGATAGCTGTCAAGCCCGTGTCCAGATGGCATCCTTAGGAGAGGTCCCAGCACATGCCACCTCTGTTGTGCTGGAGGCCTCTCCATGCTCCTGCAGCTATTTTTAGTGACTGCCCCTGCTCCCACCCCACCACTGGACTTTCCGCTTGTGGCTACAGATGTGACTCTCCTCACGCTGCAGTAAACTTCAGCCAAGTTGTGTGGTTGTACTCCTCGCCTGGCCGCAGCAGCACACTGGGGAAACGGGGCTGTGGAAAGAAAACCAACAGCTTCATTCTGACAGTGTCACAGCCTGGGGGTGAGTGCTGCCACTGCACGGCAAGAGTCATTTTCACCATTGGTAAAAAGATCGAAAATCCTTGTTCTCCTTTTCATGGCAGAACAGCCTGCTAAGGCGAGCTGGGTGAACCCGACAGCTTCCAGTTCCCTAACAAAGGACACGTAACGCTGGGACCCAACGGGCTCCATTTAACATCTGTTGCAGTCTCCTGGCTTGGGGGGGGGGGGGGGTTGTGCATTTATCCCAGCTGCTCCAGGCCCAGCTCTTCTGAGGGGGGAGCATTTTGAAAGGAGCAGCACATTGTTCTTCAGAGTTTGGCTGCCTGAGGCCAGCTGTGTTTTCTTGGGAAGACAGTCAGGGAGAGGGTATGGGTGAAGGGAGGGCAGGGCTGATTACTGTACCGAGGTTCATTTAGACACAGTTCAGAGCCCCTGGGAAGGATTGCAGGGTGTCCCTGACAGTGGCCCACAGAGCACCCGTGGGGGAGGTGGAATGGAGGGCTGCAGGGAGCCCCTGGTGGGTACAATGAACTTGCCTGACAAAGGGAACAAAGTGAGCAGCCCTCTAGTTGATAAGATACAATCTAGGGCCGTGAAGGCATCACCCCAAACGGGGTGCTGACCAGTTCCAGTTAACCACAGGGGCTGAAGCAGCTCCCCGCCCACCCCAGCAGGGGGCTGCACCAGCCCCACCGGGCCCACCACAGGCAGGGGCTCCTCTGATCCACGGTGGGCCTGCCCTAACCCGCCCCCCCCCGGCTACAGGTTACATGCTGGGTCCCTGGGAGCGGGGCCAGCAGGGGCCGCCAAGCTGCCAGCATGTAACTTACAGCAGGGAAGGTCCTTCCCCAGCAGCAGAGCTGGCAGGGCAGGTTGCCCTGCTCCCGTGAAGACTGTGCTGAGCTTATTGACGCTTTATACTGCAGAGCCCTCAGCATGTGTAACCAGTGAGATTTTCAGCGGTTACACAGTTACCTACTTAACTGTTCACACCCCTAAGACAATCATTGACAATATCTCCTCCTCCTCCAAGCAAGGCATACAGCTATCTCCTTCCAGACCCAGCGTCTGGCCTGTGACACCTTGGGGGGAGGGACTGGTGGTGCATTTGGTTAATTTGTTCCTGGAAACCCAAGTCCAAACAGATCCCAGAAGGGGTGTTGTTTGTGGCACTCCTAGTGGAGTTCTGTCCTCACTCTGCAATCAATGCCCAGTTTGAGCTTTGTGCTCAGGCATGGGACATGACTGGGAAAGCAGCTGTGAAAGATCCCAGGGCACTCTTCCGAAGAGCTGGGGGTTGCCTTTCTTGGGCATTTACTTAGCCACAGCCTACAGAATTAAGGCCTGAGAGGTGCAGTTTCTCAAAGGCTTGTCTACACACACGAGTTGCACCACTAGCTCCCCTCAAAGTCAAAGGGATGCACCTTCCCCCAGGTATGGACAGTCACGAGGAACAATGGAGCTTTATGCGGGTTTAGCCAGTCCTGTGTAAGAAGGGAACCAGGCCATGCTGGTAGAAGGCCCCTTTACACTGGAGTAACTGCATCTCGACAAGGGGCTGCACACCTGAACTCATTCAGATCTACAGTAGACCAGGTGTCAGGAGCTGGTGCGTTTTCACGAGCATGCATGTAACTAGCCGAGGGAGCCCTTCCCCCCATGCTGGTGCATACTGCCAGCACACCAACAGTTACCTTATTGACAGCATCTGGCCAGTTCTGTGTTTCAAGGCAGAAGGCTGAATGCTTAGGATACACAGAGCCCCCTTTGCCCTTCAGGGAGCCGTCCAGGAAATTCCCAGTGTAGAACTGGATCCCAGGCTGTGTGGTGTAAACTTCCACTGTCCTGCCACTAGGGGGATGATGTGCCCTGTAGAATGAGAAGCAATTTGGTACTCAGGGAGCAGGCACAGAAAGCAAGAGGGGGAAGAAAGGAAACTGGGGAACAGGGAAAGAAGATGGTGCTGATTCCGTCTCTTCAGCCTTGCAGGCCGCAATGCAAGACTCTTTGCCCCAGGAATGGTGACATAAGAATCCTGCTAGACTGGAACCAAAAATTAGCCTGCAGCTCATGCAGTTTTGTAGGGCACTTGACTTCCCTGGCAGTTAGCACTGCCCAGCCCAGGCAGTGAGATAAGCGGGAGGACAAGCAGTGGCCAGGGCATGGCTGACAGGAGGCTGACATCAGTGGATGGCCTGTGGGAGTGGAGGGGAGCCACAAGACCAGGCATGGGAGAGGGTTAGAGCCAGGGAGGCATCAGTCAATGGCAGGGAGCCAGGGAAAACAGAAGCCAGCAGGGCAAGGAGAGAGGATAGCCCCCTGAATAGGGGGGTTCAATTCCCTGCCCTGCTCAAAGACTTCTACTGTGACCTTAACATCTCAGTCTGTCTGTGCCTGTTCCCCATCTGCAGGATGGGGACAGCAGCACAGCCCTGCATCGCGTGTCTTCACGTGTGAGGGGATATACTGAGGATTACTGTAGATGGAAGGGACAAAAGATCGGGACCTTCCTTCAGAGACTGCAGTCGATGATGTAGACCACAGGGTTTTATAATGTTTTATGTGATGTGCTTAACGTGTAGTGTGAGAATGAATGTTAAACAACCGTAACTCTGTTCTTCCCTGCTAAGCAGACAGCAGTCTTCTAAGCCCTTCATAAAGACACATCAGGCAAACTGCTTGTGTCTGTATCTGATGTCAAGAGAGAAAGATCAGCAGGATCCTTGTGATTCAGCATGATCACGCTGTTGCTCTTAGGAGTAATTAGTATATAGATTGTGTTATCAAGAAAATATAATAAATGAATTAAAAGTTTGTACTAATAGAAGCTTTGTATTAGGAGTTGGATTGATACCTTTTGTATGGACAACTGTACCCCTTTTCCCCTGTGTGAAATGATGGTGTGGTTCCTGGGGAGAGGGAGTGAATGGAATGTGAGGGTTTGGAGAGAGAACAACTTGAAGGCCCAATAGTGTCAGAGTCCAGACACTGAAAAAGGGGAGAAGGCTGGAAGACTCAGAGGCATCAGGGTACCATAAGTTGGGAAGCCATAGGGACGGCCTTGGAGTGTTAGGAGCAAGCGCTCCGTTACAAACAAGACAATCTTGAAATAACACTGGGAAGGAGACACCAACATACTGATGTCAGAGTAAAGAATAACTCCCAGATAAACAAATATTAAGCAGAACGGATGGTGATTAAGAGCTGACAAAGCAAAACGCATAGACCTAAGGGGGAGAAAAGCCCTATCAAAGATGGGGCATCTTGCATGAACCTTCGGGTCTGGTCTTGTCAACATCGGAGCGTCGGCCCAGACCGAGAGAAGCCTCCGCTCCTCCCCCTCGCCATTCACGCGCCTGGCCAGTGAGAGAGAGAGAGAGGGGGGATATGGCAATGACAAGACGCGCGGGAATGTTTTTATGAAGCAGATGCTAAGTGTATTCTCAATAAATGTGGCATGTTGCCTTTTCCCATGTGCTTGCTATAAGCATAACCATGACCCCTGTGCTGCAAACACCAATGGTGCAAACCAGAAGGCCCTGAAGCCGGGGAAGTACTGCTGCTTTACGCTGCTGATGTGATCAAGTCCCCACCTTGCACAGTAGCGTCGAGCCTCTGATTGCTCCAGGCAGAAGTTATGGTCAAAGCCAGGGAGCTGAAACTTCTGCAAGTGTCTTCCAAGTTCCACCGGCTTCCTCAAATCAAAAGCGGTGTCCTGCACTGCAGCCATCGTGCCTGGGGAGGAGAAAGCACAGGGCCTGTCTGTGAGCAAACAGCCAGTGTTAGCAGTTCACAGAGAGAATGGCCAGGCTGGGTCAGACCAAAGACCCAGCCAGCCCAGTGTCCTGTCTGCCCACAGTGGCCAATGCCAGATGGCCCAGAGGGAGGGAACAGAACAGGGAATCAAGTGATCCCTCCCGTCAACCATTCCCAGTGTCTGACAAACAGAGGCCAGGAACTACCCCTCCTGGCTAATAGCCACTGGGGACCTGTCCTCCATGAATTTAGCTAGTTCTTTTTTAACTCTGTTAGGGTGCGTCTACAGAGCACCGTAACACAAAATAAAATATGCCATCTGAGCTACGTAAATTGCATATCTTAGTTCAATGCTATTTTGAAATAGCTCTTTATTTCAAAATTTGGCGCGGTGTAGACAGCACCAGATGACAAAATAAGCTATTTCAAAACATCCCTTACTCCTTGTAGAACGAGGCTTACAGGGACATCAGAATAGAGGACCCGAAATAACGGGCTTACTGTGAAGGCACAGAATAGCTATTTCAGGATATTCGAGTACCCTTAATGTCCTGGCCTTCACAATATCCTCTGGCAGGGAGTTCCTCAGGTTCACTGTGCACTGTGTGAAGAAATATTTCCCTTTGTTTAAAATCTATTAATTTCATTTGATGGCCCTAGTTTTTGTGTTATAAGAACACGTAAATAACTTCTTCATTTGCTTTCTTCACACCAATCATGACTGTACAGACCTCTATCCTATCTCCCCTTAGTCATCTCTTTTCTAACCTCAAAAGTCCCAGTATTATATTATTTAATCTCTCTTTATCTGGCAGCCTTTTCAGACCCCTAGTAATTTTTGTCTGGCAGTAATTTTCAGACCCCTTTTCTGAACTATTTCCAGTGCCAAGATATCTTTGAGATGAGGCAACCACAACTGCACCAATGTTCCCTCTAATTTTTCCATATATGTGCAGAATAAATTTTGTTATGGGCAGTACGCAAGTGCAGATGAGCACCACCAATAAAAACACATGCTGCCAGCTGTGTGCATTCTGCCAATTACATGTGTGGCACCTGAATCTCTCCTGGGTGGGCATCCAAGTGCTCAGCTTACAGGAAATACTGTCACACAGTATTCAAGATGTGGGCAACCCATGGATTTATATAGAGGCAATAAGATACTCTCTGTCTTATTCTCTACTTTGCTTAAGAGCCTTTGGTGAGGGACCTTGTCAAAGGCTTTCTGGAAATCTAAGTACACTAGATCCACTGGATCCCCCTTGTCCACATGCTTGCTGACCCCCTCAAAGAACTCTAGAGGACTGGTAAGGCAGGATTTTCCTTTACAAAAGCCATGATGACTCTTCCCAAACAAATTATGTTTATATACGTATCTGACAATTCTGCTCTTTACTCTAGTTTCAACTGAAGTTAGACTTACTGGCCTGTAATTACTAGGATCACCTCCGGATCCTTTTTAAATATTGGTGTCACATTAGCGATCCTCCAGTCATTGGGTACAGAAGCGGATTTAAAGGGTAGGTTACAAACCACAGTTAATAGTTCTGCAATCTGAGCTCTTTCAGAACTCCTGGGTGAATGCCCTCTGGTCCTGGTGACTTGTTACTATTTAATTTATCAGTTTGTTCCAAAACCTCTTCAGATGAGGCCTCACAAGGGACAGTTCCTCAGATCTGTCACCTGAAAAGAAAAGCTCAGATTTGGGAATCTCCCTCACAGCCCCAGCTGCAAAGACCAATGCAAAGAATTCACCGAGTTTATCGTCCTGGAGGGCTCCTTTAGCATCTCAATCATCCAGAGCCCCACCGGTTCCTTAACAGGCTTCCTGCTTCTGATGGGCTTACAAGCTTGCTATTGGTTTTGAGATTTTGGCTAGCTGTTTTTCAAATTATTTTTTGGCCTCCCTAATTATATTTTTATACTTCATTTGGCAGAGTGTATGTCCCTTTCTATTTCCCTCACTAGGTGAGAGGGTTACTCAACCTCTGCAGTAGCCAGCATGGTAGGCCTGTTGCTGCTGCTGGTGCATTCTAAGAGGTGCGCAGGGGTTCCAGTAGGGCCAAGCGGGAGGCAGTAGCCACTGGCCGGGGTGCCACCGAGGCATCATTGGTTGTGGCAGAGGAGTCCTCCTCCTAGGGGAGGAGTGCCTGGGTGAGAGCATTTGAGAGACACAGCTTCCTCCTCGCTATATGAAGGAGGTGCAGAAGCTGTTCCATGCGCTGGAGAGAACCTGGCCAGTGTCGGCGAGGGGTCAGTACTGACAGCAGAGTAGTGGGTCCTGGGGTCACCTTTAGCTGGTCCATAGATGTAAAAGAATAGGTTTGAGGCATAGGTGGCAGTGGGGTGGACACGCACCCTGGTAAGAGTCGAGCGTGGGGCTTTGGAAAACCTGCTATTTAAACGTGGCAGAGCGTGAGGTCTGCGCAGGCAGCCCCATGGCTGTCTTGAGTTTTTGGGCCACGAGGGTCTTAGGCTTGTTAGCCTGTTTCAATATTGAAGCCAGGTCCTGGGCCCCTGGGGGCTCAGTGGGTGATTGCAGCCCTGGCAAGCTCTTGCCCAGAGCCCCCACAGGGCATGGAACTGGCTTGGAATTGTGGGATCACCCTTCCTTGGGTGAAGGGGAGTCCCTGCTAGTAGCTGCATTTATCTTCTTAGATTGTCTGACATTGCCGCTGAGAGACTGTAAGCGGGATGCAGGAAAACCCCAGAGATTAAGTCTGGTCAGATCACTGTCCAAGCGAAACAGCTGTCTCGCTGGATTTGCTGCGGCAATCAGGGCTCTGTGAAGAACGCCCTGAAATACTCCACGTGCTCCTCAGGCAGCAGAGATAAGTGAATGCCCCTCTGGGTGTCAAGTTTCTTTCACAACTATAAAGGCCAAAACATTCTCTTCCTGTCACAGGAAAGCTGAGATTCTGCAGACGCTCAGAAAAACCCAGACAACTCCCTTCTCCCTGAGGGCTAGGGTACTGCCAATGCTATGGAAATGACAAGAGATTACTTTAGGTTCCAAGACACTGAGGGCAGTGCACCATCTGGACAGTGTACACAGACCCAGCCTAGAACAGGGGAGCTGGCTTCTCCACCTTACCGAGAAGCCTGCTTTGTCTCTTGCTGTACTGGGCTGGCAGTTTAGATTTCTGGATTCTGAGAAATAATGCCGTGTTACGGTGCAGCCTTTCACACAGTGTCTATTGTTTTCTCCTAGCTGTGTGTGGGTGAGGCAGCAAATCAGCATAAAGTGCACGCACCATTCTCCAGCTCCCCATTCTTCCTCAGGGCATGCTCTGATGTTCTGCCATGCTTTTCTGTTCTCCAGAAGGCCCCTAGAGCAACCCCCCTGAAAAAGGCAGAGAGATGCTAACATGCAAGCACACCTGCTTCAACAAGAGCACTGCTGTAGGTGGTTTCTCTAGGTAGAGGCTCTCAGACACAGCTGTCTCAGAACTGGGGACTGAGGAGCAGTCAGGTCTCTCAACAAGCAAAGTGCCACTCGTGCTAAGGAAGAGCAGGCAGGATTTTTCTAAACTCAGTCAACAGTAAAATAATTAAGCAGATAGAACATCTTCTCCCCGCCCAGTATCGCAAGCACACAATGACACTCCATCAAATCATCTGTCTTCAAAGTAGGGGGAATTTGGGATCAGAACTTCCAGGGCTGACTCAGAGTCATGCCAGTTCAGAGCAAGCCCGTTCAGTCTCAGTAGTAAAGCTGTTCTCATGGCCCTCTCGTATTGGTGTTACATGGTGCAGGCATCATTAGTTCAGCCCTGAGGATCTCAGACTGGAGACCCAAAAACAGACACAGCCAAAATTAGTAGCCACTTTCGAAAAGCTCTAAATCGTAGGGAATTAAACTTCTGAACCACGGGCCTAATTCTCCAGCCACTCCCACAGGTGTAATGCCACTGGTCTCAGTGGTGTTACTGTACACTGGGAGCCACGCAGTGCTAGCAGGTGTCAAACTGCCCCTTCCTCTGGGCCTTTTTACATTGCACATAATGCTGCTCTGTGTCAGGGCCTCCTTCAAAGCCTTTGAATTCAGTGAGAGGGTTTCTAGACACTTCAGTGGATTCTAGATCAGACCCTCAGTCAGAAGAGAGATGCCTTCCATGCCTCTGAAGGCTACATGCCATGCGATGGGGCCGGGCTCTCCAGTGTGAGTCTGCATGTTGTCCCTCAGAAAAAGGGCAACTCTCCATTCCACTAGGCTGAAGGGAGCCAAACAGGGAGAGGTGCGAGGTGCGCAGCCGTAACAGCTTGCTAGGCCTACGTGAGTGCCAGTTCCCAACACAAGGGCTACTGGTGCTATTTGTGGGGTCTTGTTCCCCTTTCCACAGTCACAAGAAGCAGGGTGACCTGGAGCAACCACTTTCCCTCTGTATATCTCCCCATCTGTACACTGTAGTAACAAGCACCAAGCCAGGCCTCATAAACCTCAAGTACCACAGCCTCCAACCACCTTGTTCAACTCCATCACTGTAAGCTGCTGCTGCAGGCTGCCGAGACCTGCACCTCCTGGCCTGTGTGAACCAGCTCCACTCTTGTGCGACGAGGCTGATCAAGCCCACTCACTGCATGTTTTCTTAGTCATACCCACACAACCACTTCCTCCACATCCCTTCTCTCCACTGCTTCGGAGCACTCCTGTAGCTGCTGTCCTGTGTCCTGGCAGCAAAACACGCCTCAACCATGCAACAAGCCAGTGGGCCAACCATCGGGAACAAGACACAGCAATCTCCTACAGTTGGCTGGAAAGACAACTGAGCGCAACCCAGGATTTAAATGTATACCGGAATTAAAGAGCAGGTGAAGGCCTCAGCGGTTTAGCTTAGATGCAGCAGATCTTCAGGTCCCCGTGCAACTGTGTGGCATGTCTCGGACAGGACACTTAGAAAGCTCTCCTTGGGGGCAGCGTACCTTCTGTAATCCCTGTGTGCCGTATACAGTAGGTGCAACCAGCTCTGCATCACCTG